CTCAGTTCGGTGATATCAACGGTGATAGTCTGAATAGATTTCATTTTAAAAATTTTGGTAAATGTTTTTGAAAAACAAAACTGGCGACGATAAGAAAATCTCTTTAAGTTACTGCAATTTATTGACCTTTCAGTTTTTTCTATGTGTTTTGTGGAAGTCAACGGACTTTTCACAACGCTTACCGGGGTTTGGTAAAGTATCGGTGAAAATGTTTTTGTGTTAACAATTATGTTAACCGACTCGCTTAAGTCCCAGCTCGAGCATCAGCCTCAAATGAACAAAAACCTTCCTACGACTAAGCAATGTCTCTAGCGCCAGCGCCTTTGTTCAGGTAGACTTCAAAGGAGCGGTTTATTTGATACTTTAAGTTCTCAAAACAGATGAGATTTTCACTGCCAGTCTTTTTTGTTAACCTTTGCAGTGGTGTTAAAACCGTACATGTTCAGACTTTCTTAATTGACAGTCAAGCAAAATAACTTTTCTGCAACTCATGAAAACGTGAAGTTTTTTCACATTGTATGGAGTACTCTACGACATTTCAAATCCGAACACCTATAGAGACTGAAAAACAGTAGTTAGTTTTGACTTCAATTTGAGGGTTGAGTTTTAAAAACTTGATCTGGCAGTGTCAGCGTTTTTGATATTGCGGGTTGACTGATCTCCGTTAGGGAACTGACGATGGCATTGCCAGATTACCGTGACTTGTTCTCAGATGCGTTGAAAATGTATGAACTGGATATACCGTTTTATTTCAGGAAAACGAAGCGGCTACACTCATTCTGCTGCTTGGATCAAATTTTTATAAAAAGATATTCAGCTGTAATTTGTTTTTTTTTTGTCTTTGGCGGAAAATATAACTAGTCTGCAAAATCTACTTTCTTTTTTTTCACAACTTTAGCACGCTGAGCCGGCGTTTTTTCCCCAGTTAAAAAGAGAACATCCATAATGCTCACAGCAAAGTAAGACGTTTTGATCACTTTAGTGTTAGAAATGCAGATCTTTGTCACAGTCTTCTGCTTACTTGGTTCCGCTACGCTGAGTCTATTGAGCAATGATCGCAACTGCTCGTTTGTTGCGGCTTTTTTCCAGAGCTGCTCATCAAAATCGGTGGAAATTGAACAAATCTATCTTTGTCTCACGACTTTCCTTGACCATAATTCCTTTATGTTTGGCGGAATCTTGGTAACACCTCGATTGAGCGAAAACATGGTTTAAATCTTCCTATCACGAAAAAAAATTAAACAGCTTTCTTAGTTTTGACGCACGAGAGGCAAAAAACCTACCAAAATTATTGTTTATCTGTGTGGCCACAAGTCATTTATCTTTCTCTGGTTTTCTTCAAGTGTTTCCTCTAATTCAATGAAACATTTTTCTTATTCAACAATTTTTTCCAGCTCAAACTTTTGTTCTTGTTGTTATATATCCATTTAAAAAGTTTATTTTTAAGCTGAAGTTTAATTATTTTAGCAAAGGTTCAACTCATCTTTGAATCTCTTGGATTAGCTCAAAAATGATCAAAACTCTCGACTCTAAGGTTTGATTTTTGTTTTGCACTCTCTACCTCATGCAACACCTTTAGAGTTCAATTCAGTAATTTTTTTTTGCCCAGATTTAATACCTTTTCTTTGCTGGATGGGGTTCTGAATGTGTTAAGCTTCATCAAATAGCGATTCCTTCTTGGAATGAGCTTCATGAAAGAACCTACAACTTTTTTAAAAAATGTTAACAAGCTGTTTTTTGCCAATGAAGAAGAAACCAAAACCGGAAACTTTCAAACTTAGACTTTCAACAAAAGATAAAACATTTTATCTTGGCTTACTTATGCTGATAACATGTGCGACTTATTCAATTTTCCGCCGTGCGGGTTTTTCCAGATTTTACCATTTTTTCCGTATTAAATTACAGGTATGAGCACAACAACGAAGAATCTTTTTAAATTCTTGTCGTAGATCATTTGATGCAACTAAAAGTACCGACGGAAAACTTTCGTTTTTGTTCCGGCCATTGAATCATTAAAAGAGGTCGAAATACTTAACATATAAAGCCCTTTCATTAGTAATTTGGACGATACCAGATAAATTTCGAAATTTTTTTTCTCGGCGTTTAGAAAAATTGGTTTGATAATTTAACTTTTGCTTGTTTTCGAGCTACAGAGATGAGCGTACAAGCTTATAATAGCCTAATTAGGCTTAGTTTAAGCAGTAAAAACTCGTGTACAGTTCGTTTTTTGAGTAGTTTTTAGCGTCATTTTGGAAATCAAAATGTCCAAAATTTCAAGGTTTTTTTTGCATACAATTTAGCAAAAATATGGAAGCTTTTTCCAACTTTTTTACAACTTTGTTTTCTTTTTTTTTGTCTGTTTTCTACTTAGCTTAAAACTACTACTGTAGAACATGCCTAAAACTTTGTTTTGTTCAAATTTTTTTTATCACACCCCACAAAAAAGTGGTACCACGCAGAACTTTGGCATTTTTCAATTCTTTGGTCGGAATATTGTGTGCTCCTTGTTAACAAGGGATAGTCAAAACGTTCCTGTTTAAGAGTTATTTCAACTGATTTCTAGTTCGCATAAATAAGACACTGAATTAGAGGTCAACACATAACAGCTAGACAGATCTAGACTGATTGACAGGCAGGTACCAAATCACACTTAATTATAATATGAGAACTCTCAGAGATGAGTAATAATGGGATAGCAACTAAATTGATTGACATCTAAATATGTAGCCCCTCACATTTCCGTACAGATGTAAAATTTAAATACATAGTAATTAAATTTAATATAGTAATTAATAACATTCAACCTGCCGCCACACTAGCACATCAACAACAAAACTTTGAGTTTTAGGCTTATGGCCATCCCTCTCCCTGGGTAACGAGTTTTGAATGAGTTTAAGTTTTAAGGTTTACTTGTTTCCTTCCCCTGGATATTTTCCTTTCTTTTCCGCCCCTTGGATATTGTCTATCAAGACTCTCGTTTCCTCTTGTTTAAGGTTTACTTGTTTCCTTCCCCTGGATATTTTACTTTCTTTTCCGCTCCTTGGATTTTGTCTATAATGACTCCTCCTATTTTATCCACTGGCTTCCTTCTTCTGGTACTTTTTCTTGTTCCCGAGCTTTCACTTCGACTGCCTGATTCCTCCTCTTGACTACTGTTTGTAAGGCATTCTCTCGCAACTAGCGCCGGTCGGTCCTGACTTTCCTTCCCTTGTTTCGCTTGTTTCGCTTGTTTCGTCGTTTTAGGCTTCTCTCTTGTTCCCGCTCCGTGTTCTAATACTACTGTACTACTACTTGGGCCTTGTCCCGCTGCAATTGCCTCGTGTCTCGCTAACACTTCAACTGGTAGACGTGCTGGTATAATATTGAGTGGCCGGTAATCCTCACTATCTGAACTGTCCGACTGAAATGTGGCTACAGGTACTTGCTGTTTGGCTTTTGGCCGCTTTGATTTCGGGCTCTCGATTGCCCCCTTCTTCGCACTCAATAGCATTTCCTTGAGCGTGGCCGGATTCCGTTTCTTGGGGAGGGTGTTCTTTGGCTTCAATGCCACTGCACTTTTCCTAATAACAGATCCGTTTTTCAGCTTGATGGTATGTTTAGACTCGGAGATTACATTAGATTTTAAGAGTTTATACCGATTTAAGATCCTGCTGGTGGTACGCTGATAGAGATTGCCTCCGTCTCCACTCCCTTGGATTTTAGGGCTTGCGTCTCCACTCCCTTGGATTTTCGGGTCAACCCCTGATACCTTCCCTCGGCAAGTTTCCATCTGCTGGTCGCTATCCAGAATGAGCGGTGCCTTTCTTAGTGCCGGAGAATATGTCAAGTCCGACGGTTCCTCCCAGTTTGAGTGCTGTGGAAATGCGATTGTGCTCATTTCAGGGTCATTTTCGTCTAAACACAAACATTTTTGTTTTAAGACGTTCTTCCAATTCAGATTTTCAGACTAGGTTTTTTTCGTAAGATTGCGTAACACGGTGTTTGCCTCACGGCCGTGGTGAGCTTCAAAGGGTGTTAGTTTAGTCGTTGCATTTTTGGAAAACCGTAACGCGCCAAGCGCTTTATCGACCACAGATTCTAGAGACTTATGCTCTTTTTCAGATGCATAAGTGAGGACAAAATTCTTCAAGCTCCCTATCGTTCTTTCCACTAAACCCGTACCCCGATGATCATTCACTGGTGAGTATACTAGATTTTGTTTTGATGTATACCTGTTTTTATTGCAATGTATCATTAACACGCCACTTGATGGGAATCGAAAAAAGGGCCAAAAAGTATCGGTCAAGGTATCTGTTTGCTTCAAAAAGATACTGCTCAATTGTTTTATTTCAATCCTTAAAATGAATAAAAAAGACAGAACAGCTTGATTTAGTCTGAAAACAAATTCTGGAATCATCAATTCGGAGCGAAAAACTGGGAGGGGGCAAGTTTAACAGCAGGTCTTGTTAGCTCTCCGGCGCGGGTTGTGACTTCCGCAGGCTTTTTACTTTTCCCCCACCTGCAAGTTTTTCTGTTCACATTGTTTGATTGTTACAAAAATTTGCTTGTTTAGATCATAACAAGCATATTTGATTGTTATAATGAGCCTGGTAAAACCTCTCGTTACACCATAATAGTCATGCTTATGTGAGATGGGGGTGGGGGAGGAAAGAAGCCTACAACTCAATTTACCAACACCGACGATGCCGAAGTAGAAAAGTAGAAACACAATTGTCTTCTCATGTTGTAAGCATTAAAAGCTTCCAAATATTTGTTGCTGAAGTTCGGCGGTTTTTTCAACATCATTCTGTGAAACTGGTGGTAAAGTACGCACTGATTTTGACTTACCCATGTTTTAATAATTTGACCTATTTTGGTTGCTGAAGTCTAAGCATCAAAATAGCACAGAATTTCAATGCAACAATTTAAAATACGACAAAATCATAATACAGAAAAAACTTGTTCCCCTTAAAATACTCCAGAAGTTTTTCAAATTCACAAACTAAATCTTTACTATCAAGATGTTTCTGAGCACAAATCATTTGTTTGTTTTATTCACCACTGGCTCAATGATGCTTCTTCTACCCGAAGTCTGGACATCGAGCGTGTGCTTGGACGGGTGGAGACTGATCGATGGTCTGCCAGGCAGGTGCTTCCTTTTCCCCGATGGCTACAAATCAATTAACTACTGGCTGAACGAGGATACTTACCGCTACTGTATTAAACTGAACCCGTTAGTTAAATTGGCTCTTTTTCCTTTCCACACATGCAATTTTTCGCAACTAAAGTGTTTATCATTGTAGTATTGTTAGCAAATTTGAAAAACTAGGCTCTTTTTTCTCCCCCCACCTGCAAAGTTTTGGAATTAAAATTTTTTTTCACAATGTTCGATTGTTCGATTTGTTATGAAAATTGTCAAACCACACTAATTAGGTCATGACAAAGCTCTTTTTCCTTCCGCTCCTCCCCCCCCCCCCAGCTTACTTAATTATCAACTTTATGCAGTGATGAGGATTCTTACAGGGTTAAGTATGAAGACCAAATTTGTTTGTCGTGGCTTAAATAGTCCGCATGCCATTATCCGATTGTTACAATTTTTGTAACTATCGCATCATGGGAAAAAGTGAAAGAACTCATGACAAACAGATTTGCTCTTCATAATTACCCTTGCAAAACCACTCGTGAAACCAGAAAGTTTAAGCTCATCCAAGGTTGGGGGCTTATGCGAAATTGGGGAGAGGGGGTGTGGATCGGAAAAAAACTGCTAATTTCAGTCTTATCTCTCCTATCATAACTTGATGAAAAAACTATATTTAACCCTCAACCCTCAGCAAATTCCTCCCCTTATAATAGAATAATCACAGCGATGTGGAGGGGCAGTAATTAACTAGTCTAGGCGGGTCTTTGTGGTGAATGACCCCTAAGTCTATTGTGGTGTTTGTAAAGAATCCTACTGTCGCTCATTTCCACTTTTACAGCTTCTAAAACATCTAATTGACAGAGATATTCACCGAGCCTGACGGCATAGCGCGTTGATGTGTAGTAAAATCAGCGCTAGGCAAATAACTAAAGACCATTCGTAAAATTTGCTTTGGTTCATCGTAGAGAAAACCTAAGGGGCTCCCCTGAGGATGTTAATGTCCGCACATTAATGTCCGCAATTAGATAATTGATCACTTATTAGCCTCAGAATATTCAAAACTGTTGTCTTTTGTCTTATTGTTCCGACTTTCAGTACGAAAGTAACGGAATATTTGTGCTCGGGGTGGGTTTTTTTCTTCAGACAAATTTCGACTTTTTAACTAGCCATTTTTGACGGAATTTTTTTATATCATTCAAAAGGTATTGTTGTCCTGAGCTTAAATTTGAAAAGATATTTTACCTGTGATTATTTTTCGTAAAGTTATGAGGGTTTAAAGATTGCCATTTTGGCCATTTTGACCAATTTGGGACAATTAACGCGCAATATATTTCGCGCTATTACCGCGTAAGCGGAGGTTTAATCCGTCTTATAAATCGTTCCAAATTGGTTGAACGAAGCTTATTTGTCATAATTGATTTGTTACAAGGAACGAAATCTATCTTTTTGTACTTTATATGGCGTGTGGGGGGATGATTTTCATTAAAAAATTTCAAATTTTAGAAAATTTTTTTTCATTTTGTTTTATTTCATTTGATTTTTCCATGTTATTACTGCTCCATAGACCTTAAGAGGCAGTCGGAACATTCAGGGCCTCGCCCTGATACGAGCACTCTTGCTAGTGTTTTATTTTCTTTTTGTTTTCCACTTTTGGTTGCCGTTTTCACATACGTCAAAACTTGAAGAGTGATCAAGTATCTAATGCACGGGCTTACATTTACAAGAGAAGTCAAATATAATCAACACAAACATCAGATTATTGAGCTTTAACCCTAGTTCTTACACTGTTTTAGGTGTTTTATGACTAAATGCGTGATTTTATGATTTCTTGTTTTTCCATGAGTTATGAGAACGCTAAAATAGTTTTTCAAAATTAAGATTGAAAAGTGAGAGGAGTGTGAAAGAGCCCTCGCCTGTGCTGTAACCGTAGTTTCTAGGGATTCAATGACCAGAGCACTCAATTATTTGATTGACCAAACTTCAAAGCTTTCTAAAGATGCCCTTGGTATCAACGTATGTTAATTTTAAAAAAAGAGCATTCTCGAAACTGTTACGGTCCTTTCTCAGTTCGGTGATATCAACGGTGATAGTCTGAATAGATTTCATTTTAAAAATTTTGGTAAATATTTTTGAAAAACAAAACTGGCGACGATAACAATATCTCTGTAAGTTACTGCAATTTATTGACCTTTCAGTTTTTTCTATGTGTTTTGTGGAAGTCAACGGACTTTTCACAACGCTTACCGGGGTTTGGTAAAATATCGGTGAAAATGTTTTCGTGTTAACAAATATGTTAACCGACTCGCTTCAGTCCCAGCTAGAGGATCAGCCTCAAATGAACAAAAACCTTCCTACGACTAAGCAATGGCTCTAGCGCCAGCGCCTCTTTTCAGGCTAGACTTCAAAGGAGCGGTTTATTTGATACTTAGAGTTCTCAAAACAGATGAGATTTTCACTGCCAGTCTTTTTTGTTAACCTTTGCAGTGGTGTTAAAACCGTACATGTTCAGACTTTCTTAATTGACAGTCAAGCAAAATAACTTTTCTGCAACTCATGAAAACGTGAAGTTTTTTCACATTGTATGGAGTACTCTACGACATTTCAAATCCGAACACCTATAGAGACTGAAAAACAGTAGTTAGTTTTGACTTCAATTTGAGGGTTGAGTTTTAAAAACTTGATCTGGCAGTGTCAGCGTTTTTGATATTGCGGGTTGACTGATCTCCGTTAGGGAACTGACGATGGCATTGCCAGATTACCGTGACTTGTTCTCAGATGCGTTGAAAATGTATGAACTGGATATACCGTTTTATTTCAGGAAAACGAAGCGGCTACACTCATTCTGCTGCTTGGATCAAATTTTTATAAAAAGATATTCAGCTGTAATTTGTTTTTTTTTGTCTTTGGCGGAAAATATAACTAGTCTGCAAAATCTACTTTCTTTTTTTTCACAACTTTAGCACGCTGAGCCGGCGTTTTTTCCCCAGTTAAAAAGAGAACATCCATAATGCTCACAGCAAAGTAAGACGTTTTGATCACTTTAGTGTTAGAAATGCAGATCTTTGTCACAGTCTTCTGCTTACTTGGTTCCGCTACGCTGAGTCTATTGAGCAATGATCGCAACTGCTCGTTTGTTGCGGCTTTTTTCCAGAGCTGCTCATCAAAATCGGTGGAAATTGAACAAATCTATCTTTGTCTCACGACTTTCCTTGACCATAATTCCTTTATGTTTGGCGGAATCTTGGTAACACCTCGATTGAGCGAAAACATGGTTTAAATCTTCCTATCACGAAAAAAAATTAAACAGCTTTCTTAGTTTTGACGCACGAGAGGCAAAAAACCTACCAAAATTATTGTTTATCTGTGTGGCCACAAGTCATTTATCTTTCTCTGGTTTTCTTCAAGTGTTTCCTCTAATTCAATGAAACATTTTTCTTATTCAACAATTTTTTCCAGCTCAAACTTTTGTTCTTGTTGTTATATATCCATTTAAAAAGTTTATTTTTAAGCTGAAGTTTAATTATTTTAGCAAAGGTTCAACTCATCTTTGAATCTCTTGGATTAGCTCAAAAATGATCAAAACTCTCGACTCTAAGGTTTGATTTTTGTTTTGCACTCTCTACCTCATGCAACACCTTTAGAGTTCAATTCAGTAATTTTTTTTTGCCCAGATTTAATACCTTTTCTTTGCTGGATGGGGTTCTGAATGTGTTAAGCTTCATCAAATAGCGATTCCTTCTTGGAATGAGCTTCATGAAAGAACCTACAACTTTTTTAAAAAATGTTAACAAGCTGTTTTTTGCCAATGAAGAAGAAACCAAAACCGGAAACTTTCAAACTTAGACTTTCAACAAAAGATAAAACATTTTATCTTGGCTTACTTATGCTGATAACATGTGCGACTTATTCAATTTTCCGCCGTGCGGGTTTTTCCAGATTTTACCATTTTTTCCGTATTAAATTACAGGTATGAGCACAACAACGAAGAATCTTTTTAAATTCTTGTCGTAGATCATTTGATGCAACTAAAAGTACCGACGGAAAACTTTCGTTTTTGTTCCGGCCTTTGAATCATTAAAAGAGGTCGAAATACTTAACATATAAAGCCCTTTCATTAGTAATTTGGACGATACCAGATAAATTTCGAAATTTTTTTTCTCGGCGTTTAGAAAAATTGGTTTGATAATTTAACTTTTGCTTGTTTTCGAGCTACAGAGATGAGCGTACAAGCTTATAATAGCCTAATTAGGCTTAGTTTAAGCAGTAAAAACTCGTGTACAGTTCGTTTTTTGAGTAGTTTTTAGCGTCATTTTGGAAATCAAAATGTCCAAAATTTCAAGGTTTTTTTTGCATACAATTTAGCAAAAATATGGAAGCTTTTTCCAACTTTTTTACAACTTTGTTTTCTTTTTTTTTGTCTGTTTTCTACTTAGCTTAAAACTACTACTGTAGAACATGCCTAAAACTTTGTTTTGTTCAAATTTTTTTTATCACACCCCACAAAAAAGTGGTACCACGCAGAACTTTGGCATTTTTCAATTCTTTGGTCGGAATATTGTGTGCTCCTTGTTAACAAGGGATAGTCAAAACGTTCCTGTTTAAGAGTTAATTCAACTGATTTCTAGTTCGCATAAATAAGACACTGAATTAGAGGTCAACACATAACAGCTAGACAGATCTAGACTGATTGACAGGCAGGTACCAAATCACACTTAATTATAATATGAGAACTCTCAGAGATGAGTAATAATGGGATAGCAACTAAATTGATTGACATCTAAATATGTAGCCCCTCACATTTCCGTACAGATGTAAAATTTAAATACATAGTAATTAAATTTAATATAGTAATTAATAACATTCAACCTGCCGCCACACTAGCACATCAACAACAAAACTTTGAGTTTTAGGCTTATGGCCATCCCTCTCCCTGGGTAACGAGTTTTGAATGAGTTTAAGTTTTAAGGTTTACTTGTTTCCTTCCCCTGGATATTTTCCTTTCTTTTCCGCCCCTTGGATATTGTCTATCAAGACTCTCGTTTCCTCTTGTTTAAGGTTTACTTGTTTCCTTCCCCTGGATATTTTACTTTCTT